GCGGCAGCCATCTCTGGGCTGGTGTGCGCAGGTCTCTCCACCCGCTGGGGAGCCCACCAGCAGTCCCAAATGCAGGGGAGAGGAAACAGCAAATCCACCTACCCTTGCTGCTGGTCTCCGGGCTGCTCTGGTGGTCTCAGCCTCCAGTTCTCCTCCACAGCCTCTTCCCGTGGAGTCTCCCAGGGTCTCAGGTACCCCTCCTTCCGACCCTCGTCCGCTGTATGCTCGTCTTCTTGCTTCTTTTTTCTAATTTCTGCTAGAATCTGTCTTTTCTGCAGAGACACTCTGTCTGGCAGTGTTTCTCGTCCGCCATCTTGATCTTCCCCTCACTTCTAGTGTTTGATAGCACAGTAGAATGAGTATAGTCCACGATAATTTATTGTATTTTTCAAAAAAGCTAGAAGATTGGGAATGTTCCCAATACAAATAAATGACAAATGGTTAAGGTGATGGATATCACAATTACCCTGATTTGATCATTACACATTGTATGAGTGTATCAAAATATCACATGTACCCCATACATATGCCCAATTATTATGTATCAACTTTTAAAACCATGAATACAGACACCTCTCAGGCTGACTGTGCTGCCCTGATTTTTGCTTGTGGTATTAATAAATTTGAAAGTGGTATATTCAAGAATGGGCAGACCTGTGAGCATTACACTGAGTGGGAAACAACTAACTTTGATGTTAACAAAATGAATTCCACTGAGCCACACTATAGCCAGCAGAGATATGGAGAAATAGTTAAGGAAGATCGTCTTACATTAAGAAAGTTGGCTATGACTCAGACACGGTAGTATTTGTGCCAACTTCTGGTTGGAATGGTGACAACATGCTGGAGTGAAGTGCTAACATGCCTTGGTTCAAGGAATGGAAAGTCACCCAAAAAGACAGCAATGCCAGTGTAACCATGCTGCTTGGAGCTCTGGATTGTATCCTGCCACCAACTTGTCCAACTGACAAGCCCTTGCATCTGCCCCTCCAGGATGTCTACAGAATTGGTACTATTGGTACTGTCCATGAGGGCTGAATAGAGACTGGTATTATCAAACCAAGCATCGTGGTCCCCTTTGTTCCAGGTAACATTACAACTGAAGTAAAGTCTCTTGAATTGCACCATGAAGCTTTTTTTTTCCCCTGCCCCCTGCACCATGAAGCTTTGAGTGAAGCTCTTCCTGGGAACAACACAGCTTTCAGTGTCAAGAATGTGTCTGTTAAAGATGTTCATAATGGCAACATGGACTGTGACAGCCAAAATAACTCACCAATGGAAGCAGCTGGCTTCATTACTCAGGTGATTATCTTGAACCATCCAAGACAAGTCAGTGCTGGTTATGCCCCTGTACTGGATTGTCACACAGCTCACAGTGGTCGCAAGTTTGCTGGGCTGAAGATTGATTGCCTTCTAGTAAGAAGCTGGAAAATGGCCCCCACTGTGATTTTTATTCTTATGGTTTCTTTCTAATTTAGTCTTAAGGTTTCTCTCTTGAGAGTGGTCATAAGTCAACATAGCCACTTTCTAAGAGACTCATGACCAGCAGAAAAGTTAGTTTGAGTGTGTTAGTTAGGTGAGACACAATTAAGAGTGAAAGTAAATGCATAATGGAATAAAATAGTAACAAGTACCTAGAAATAAGTATAACTAAATTTTTTCAAGATCTCTATAAAAATAACCATGAAAATATGATGTACATAGATTGCAAAACACAATATTTGAAAATGTAGATTATTCTCACACTGATCTGTAGATTCAGTATAAAATGAATTAAAATCCCCAAAAGACTTTTCTCATGTAGATAACAAATTGGCTCTGAAATTAATATGAAAACACAAAGGTCCAAGAGTAGCCAAGACCCTCTTGAAAAAGAACAAGATGACATGAATTGCTGTATAACATATTGAGACTTATTTTAAAGCTATAGTAATCAAAAAGGTGATAATTGGTATAGGGATAAATAAGTAAATTAAACAGAGTAGAAAATCTAAAACTAGAGTCATATAGACACTTGATTTATGACAAAGGTATCACAGAAGGGAAGTCTTCAATAAAAAACATTGGGAAATTTTTGTATCCATATGGACAAAACATTAAATTGGATCTCTAACTCACACCATATACACAAATCCACTCACATTGGGCTACAAGTCTAAATATGAAAGATAAAACCACAAATATCTTAGAAAAATGGATGTGTAGCATGCGAAAATTTTCTCCCATTCTGTAGGTTGTCTGCTCTCGTGACTATTTGGCTGTGCAGAAGCTTTTTAGTTTGATCAGGTCCCATTTATTTATTTTTGTTGTTGCTGTGATTACCTTTGGAGCCTTCTTCATAAATTCTTTGCCTAGACCAATGTCTAGAAGAGTATTTCCAACGTTTTCCTCTAGAATTCTAATAATTTCATACCTTCGGTTTAAGTCTGTTAGCCAGCGTGAGTTGATTTTTGTGAGAGGTGAAAGGTGTGGATCCTAATTCAGTCTTCTACATGTGGCTATCAAGTTTTCCCAAAACAATAAATGTTGGCGTGGATGCGGAGAGATAGAACACTCCTACACTGCTGGTGGGACTGCAAACTAGTTCAACCTCTATAGAAAGCAATATGGAGATATCTTAAAGTGATACAAGTAGATCTACCATTTGATCCAGCAATTCCAATACTGGGCATCTACCCAAAAGAACAAATGACACCTCTACAAAAAAAAAACACCTGCACTAGAATGTTTATAGCAACACAATTCACAGTTGCAAGGTTGTGGAAACAACCAAGTGCCCATCAATACATGAGTGGATTAATAAAATGTGGTATATGTATACCATGGAGTACTATTCAGCTCTAAGCAACAATGGTGATATAGCACCTCTTGTATTTTCCTGGATAGAGCTGGAACCCATTCTACTAAGTGAAGTATCCCGAGAATGGAAAAACAAGCACCACATGTACTCACCAGCAAATTGGTATTAACTGAGCAACACCTAAGTGGACATATAGGAGTAACATTTATCAGGTGTCGGGAGGATGGGAGGGTGGAGGAGGGGATGGGTATATACAAACATAATGAGTGAGATGTGCAGCATCTGGGGGATGGTCACGCTTGAAGCTCTGACTCGAGGGGGGAGGGAAGGTAAGGGCAATATACGTAACCTTAACATTTGTACCACCATAATATGCTGAAATAAAGAAATGAAAAAAAAAAAAAGAAAAGAAAAATGGAAGAATATTTTAAGATCTGCAGGGTAGGGAAAGAAAGAGAATTGATATCAAGACACAAAAACCACTAGCCATCAAGGATTTGGGGACAAATTCCACTACATTAAAATTATGAAATTTATGCTCATCAAAAGATAACATAAAGAGAATGAAAAGATTAGCCACAAAAATGGGAGATGTCCATAATACGTAACACACAGGACTTATATCAAGACATTGCAGAGTAATCCTTTGCATCAATAAGAAAAGAGCAGATTCTCCAATAGAAATATTGGCAAAAATAACTTGGACAGGTGCTCCACAAAAGAGGAAATCCAAATGGCTACTACTCACAAGAAAAAATGCTCAACCTTATTAATCAGGGAAATGCAAAATATGATCACAGTGAGACACCGCTATGCAAACACCAGAATGTCCAAAAATGTAAAAATACAGTCAGTACCACATGTTTGTGAGGATTTGGAGAAAATGAAACTCTCATATATTGTTGATGAAAATGGAAAATGGTGCAGCTACTTTGGAAAACAGTGTGGCAGTACCTACCAAAGCTGAAAATATGTATACTCAGCAATTCCACTCCTAGATATGTGCTCAATAGAAATGCATGTATATGTTCACCAAAAGATATGCAGACTAGAAGGTTCTATCAGGCCTATTTGTGAGTACCAAAAATTAGAACTAAAATGTTCATGATTGGGGTATATTCATATAATGGAATAATATACAACGGGAATGAACAAGCTATAGCTACACAAAACAATGTAGATGAATCTCACAACCATAATGTTGAGTGAAAGAAGAAACAAAAGAAGTATACAATATGTTTCTAATTACATAGTTCAAAACTAGGCAAAACTAAACTATATTTTTAAGGATGTGTACATAAGTGGCAAAATTATGGAGAAAAGCCAAAAATGATTATCATAAACATCAGAATCATGGTTACCTTTAGTGGGGAGGGAGAGAATGTGATTGAAAAGTGAATCTTGTGGGTTGCTGGCAATACTCTTGATCAGGGTGATGGTTGCATTTTTGTACCAAATAAATTTATGTTTTATGCACTTTATTATATATGTTTTAGTTCACAATTTTAAAAGGTTTTTAGAAAGTAAAGAAAAGAGCACTCCAAGGACTGGACCCTGGGGCTCTCTTATATTTGAAGTATGTATATACATTCTACATTGATTCAACATTCAACAAATATTTTTTGAGCACCTACTTTGTGTCAGGCACCATTCCAGCTGCTTAGAAATACAGCACTGGACAAAACAGACAAAACCCCTGCTTTCACGGAACTTACATAGTAGTGAAGCCTGGGACAGAGTATTTCAAGGAGGATGGAGTAGTTAACTATGCAAAATGCTTCTTATACGTCCAGTAAAATAAGAACATAAGAAATTGACTTTGGTAAGCGACTCACATGACTTGAATACCATCTAAATACGGATGATCTTCATCTAGACCTCTTTGTGAACTCCTGACCTCTGTCTATTTGCCAATTTAATTCATATAGATGTCCCATATGTCTAAAACCATATACCCCAACCTACTCCTTATCTAGGGTTCTCCATTTCAGTGAATTTCATGATCATCCACCCATTTGCCCAAACCAGAAACCTGAAAGTTATCTTTAATCCCTCTTTCTCTCCTCCCTATTCCATTACACTTGCAATCCATCATTAATTCTACTAAATGTTTCTCAAATACAGGGAAGGAAAGGATGTGAGTAATTTCTGCCCATTTGGTCCATCAGGATACTGCTTTTCTTCTGCTTTTTTTCTCCAGGGCTCAAAGTGGCAAGGTCCCTCAGTTCAAGAAGGTGGTTTTCCAGGAATTTACTGATGGCTCCTTCACTAAGCCCTTGTACCGTGGAGAACTAAATGAACACTTAGGACTCTTGGGGCCATATATAAGAGCAGAAGTTGAAGACAATATCATGGTGAGTTAAGGACAGTGGAATTACAAGGAAATTACTCTTATATATTTATTTTGTTTCTGATTATAAAATAATGTATGCTTACCTTTGAAAATTGTTAAAGTATAGAAAATAAAGAAGTTGAAAGATAATCCCATAATTATCATTTTAGTATATATTCTTAACTTTATCCTATGTGTTTTTCTCTTCATATATTCAAAATTATACCATATATAATCTGCTTCTTGTTTTCTAACTCAATATCATGTCATAAATATTTATGTCATTAAAAACACTTTCTTAAGGCCAGGCGCGGTGGCTCACGCCTGTAATCCTAGCTCTCTGGGAGGCCGAGGCGGGTGGATTGCTCGAGGTCAGGAGTTCGAAACCAGCCTGAGCAAGAGCGAGACCCCGTCTCTACTATAAATAGAAAGAAATTAATTGGCCAACTAATATATATATACAAAAAAAAATTAGCCGGGCATGGTGGCGAATGCCTGTAGTCCCAGCTACTTGGGAGGCTGAGGCAGGAGGATTGCTTGAGCCAGGAGTTTGAGGTTGCTGTGAGCTAGGCTGACGCCACGGCACTCACTCTAGCCTGGGCAATAAAGTGAGACTCTGTCTCAAAAAAAAAAAAAAAAAAAAACACTTTCTTAGTATCTTTTTAAATGACTGCATAATAGTCTATTTATATGAACTTACAGAACTACAGTTTACTTAACCATTTACATTAAACAACATTTTAGACAGTTTCTTTTTTTTCACTATATAAATAATGCTGTAATCACAACTCTTTTCCTGTGATAAAATTTTGGAAGTGAAATATACATGAACATTTTAAGACTTTCTCTTTTGAATGATCTGTTAATGTCCTTTGCACATTTGTCTTTTTGGGAGGAGTGCTTTTCTTATTAATTATATCACCTTATATATTATATATAAACCATTTATCATTTTAGTGAAAGGTATTTTTTCAAATTTGTTGTCTCTTAATTTTATATATGATGGTTTGTGAAATAAAACAGGTTTGAATTTTTAGGTAGCAACCCATCAGTCTTTCCTTTTTGACACTTTTGTTTCTTTTATGTTTATAAAGTTCCCTCCCTATGCAGAGATTATTTTTTAAATCACCTATAATTTATTCAACTTTCTTTTACAGTTTAATTCTTTACATTTGACGTTTTAATCCATCAGTAATTCTTATAGACTAAAAGTTAGTTATTTTGATGCATTGTGTGAACCAAAATGGAAGTAGTTTTATTTTTTCCAAAATACCTATCTATTGTCCCAATTGATTTTTTATATAAAGAATATAGAAAGATCTAAAATTATGAAATTGTAGGTGAATTTTTCTGTCTTGAATTTTATTTTACTTTCCATATGTTCCTTGATAAATGTGTATTTTTTAAATCTGAACAACAAATATTTTTTTAAGATAATATGTATTCATCCTGGAATTTGTCATGAAAACCATTAAGTATCAACTCCTGGGGTTATGGTCTCTTATAACCTCTGTGGTGACATTTTCCCTTTTACTTTGGAATTGTTTTTACGTGTTTAGGAATTTTCTCCTTTGCAACCTTGAGTTCATGCCTTAAATTTAGAATAGAAAAATTCCTCATAATTTCCTCCATATATCTTAAGTTTGGATTCTAACATCCATCCTCTGTAACACTTACTCCAGAGTATTAAAAACTTGGATAAAGACCAAAAGATGAGCATTCCTGTTAGGGATGTAAACCCCAAGCTAAGGACTTTCAGATACTAAAAGATGATTTTTGTTTTGTTTTTTATTTTTTTCTCTGCAGGTAACTTTCAAAAATCAGGCATCTCGTGCCTATTCCTTCTATTCTAGCCTTATTTCTTATGAGGAAGATCAGAGACAAGGAGCAGAACCTAGAAAAAACTTTGCCAAGCCTAATGAAACCAAAACTTACTTTTGGAAAGTGCAACATCATATGGCACCCACTAATGATGAGTTTGACTGCAAAGCCTGGGCTTATTTTTCTGATGTTGATCTGGTAAGCAGGTCTCTATTGTGCTGGCTACTTTCTGGTTTAAAATACATGATCTTTACAAACATCTTGGTTACATAAAAAAATAAAATAAAATAAAATAAAATAAAATAAAATACATGATCTTTGTGTTGTTTGCTACTACTTTTAGTATTTATCCTATGCACAATGAGAATTTTTAAATAAGGGAGGTGACATCATATTTGTTTTTTAGAAATATTACTCTGGAATCTACTGAAAAGGATACACTATACTGTGGGAAGATGGGGGACAGGTTGAAGTGGCATAAAAATTCATGAGAAATCCACTCTCGTTCATAGATGAGAGAGCTTATACTCACAGGATTCATGTCTTTTCTCCATAGGAAAAAGATATGCACTCAGGCTTGATTGGACCCCTTCTGATCTGCCACAGTAACACACTGAACCCTGCCCATGGGAGACAAGTGACAGTACAGGAATTTGCTCTGTTTTTCACTATCTTTGATGAGACCAAGAGCTGGTACTTCACTGAAAACACTGAAAGGAACTGCAGGGCTCCCTGCAATATGGAAGACCCCACTTTTAAAGACAATTATCGCTTCCATGGTAATATATCCCACACTCAAATATCACTCACTGTGAAATGCAGCATGCACTTTGACAAATGAGCCTTGAACCAGAGATTTGAAGATTGTATTAATTTAGATTATATGTGTGGGAGTGGAATCTTCATAAGTATCAGTATTTTTGGTGGAGTGAAGGGAAAGAAACTTGTACAGTAGATTTTAACAGCCTTCTCTGTGTTCTCCTTCTCTAGCAATCAATGGCTATGTTATGGACACATTACCAGGCTTAGTAATGGCTCAGGATCAAAGGATCCGATGGTATCTGCTCAGCATGGGTAGCAATGAAAACATCCATTCTATTCATTTTAGTGGACATGTGTTTACTGTACGGAAAAAAGAGGAGTATAAAATGGCAGTGTACAACCTCTATCCAGGTATGAGCTAGTTTGTGCTCTTTCTACCTATTGTAATTGTTGAGCACTTACTTTAAATGATCTAGACACTAGGGATACGGTGAACAAAACAGACAAGCTCCAAGCTCTCAGATAACTTACTTTTTCAAACCTACAGAGAGATAAATAAATTAGCAAATGAACAAGATCACTTCAGATACAGAAAAATTTCTATAAAGGAAACAGAACAGAATAAATACATAATGTCACAGCAATTTCCTAGGAAAAAGGAATTTATTCCTTTTTCATTTACCATCTCAAATCCCACAGGGCACCAATAGTTATTCAAAGAGTAATTTGTTTATGTATGTAACCAGTATATTGATTAAGAACTACTGACAACATTGATCAAAACCCAATTTTATTTTGATTCTCCACTGTCCCTTTAAAACAGGTTTAATAGTGGGGGTAAACTTCCCCTATTTCTTCCTAAAAATTCTGATAGGCCCTATAATTTTTCTGCTCACTCTTAAGGAATAAACAGACCTGCAGTCACTTTATATCACAAATACAGTTCAAGTCAAATGACAATGTCCATTCCAAGATATTAATCAAAATTTTGAACTTGATTTAACTTCAATCTCCCCTCCCCCCAACTTGAGCCTGCATTAGGCTGAAAGTCTGCATGGAGAAAGGGAGACATGGTTGAATTTCTCTACTTCATACTTATCATACTTCCCCACAACCCCTTGCTAGATGCTGTTCTAAACTCCATCATAGATAAAGGGAAGGGGATAGGACAGTTCTTATCTACTTACAACTGGGACCATTATTATAAGCTAGCCTCACACTGTCAGCACCTGGCAGATACTTAAAGCTGACTCTTTCTCTTGCAGGGCACTTACAGGGGACATTTTAAAGACTCCTTTATGGGACCCTCTGTCATGAAATCCCCTTGACTTGGTTGGTTCCACCTTTATTCTGGGTGGTCACTTGTGACACATTTCTCAGCCCCTCAGCATTCACATCCAGCTTCTTGCTGCTGAGGAAACTTTACCCCTCTCAACAGCCCTAGTTGACTGAATCCAATAGTACCTAACCCTGACTTTTGCTCTCCAGCAGAGCTCACATATGGTCAATGAGAAATACGCTTTTTGCTCTGAAAAACCCTGGGAGTGCAGGCCAATCCTAATGCAGTAGAATTCTCCTGTCTGCAACCAACAAAGCATTCAGTCACTCTGTCTCTCATTTCCTGTTGGAGTGATCAGAACTCAACCTCTAGTGCCTCCAACTGTAGGGGCCACATAGCAATAACTTTGGGTTTGAGGGGTCCAAGAGTGGTGGAACTGAACTTGGTAGATCTCCTTTGATATTCTGCATAGGCCAATGTATCTCATGTTCATTTTTTAGTGAAAAGAAATAACTTTTTTCCTTTTGGTTTTGATAAGGTGTTTTTGAGACAGTGGAAATGCTACCATCCAAAGCTGGAATTTGGCGGGTAGAATGCCTTATTGGCAAGCACCTAAATGCTGGGATGAGCACTCTTTTTCTGGTGTACAGCAAGCGTGAGTAGCACTGTGGGCAGAGGATCCCTGCCTGCCCAGCCTACTTCTATAGAGCTTTCCTTCTTCCTGAAATGGTTGCCTATGTCAGAAAATAAATACAAGCTCACATAATTATCAAATTTAAAATGAATGTTGCTGGTAGAAATCATCAGAGTTCTCAGAGGAGACCAGAGAAGCTTGAAGTTTTGAAAAAAAATCTCCTCATTTCACAACTTGGTTAAGTGCCAAGATTTCCAATAGCAGATTTTGGAACTTAATGTTCATTTGATCACCAGAGATAACTTACATATATCACTTGGAAGAGTTTGGGAATTTAACTCTAAACAAATAAGAGAACCACTGGTATATTTGGAAACTGAGGAAACTAGGTATGGACCCTAGTTTTCTCAGCTTATGAATCATTCTAGCACTTGTTAGGATGAATTAAATGAGATAGTACATTTAGTACAGTTCTTGGCACATAATAAATACTATAAAATATTAGCATTTGTTGATGTTCTCACATTTTCATTGACTTACATTAGAGAAACTGAATTTTGTGCACTTCTAGCTACTTTGTTTCCCCCTGTTTGATTTCAGAGTGTCAGACTCCACTGGGAATGGCTTCTGGACACATTAGAGATTTTCAGATTACAGCTTCAGGACAATATGGTAAATACTATTATTTTTCTCAAAGAACCTGAGCTGATTATATCTTATTTTTTTATTTCTGTTGGAGAGTTTCAGATAACCAACCCATCTCCATGCTTCTATTAGTTCTATTCCATAGGTGTCTCTTGAATCCATCTCCTCTTCTCTGTTTCTCACTGTGACCATTTTAATTCAGGCCACTATCATTTCTCACCTTGGCAATGATACTAGCTTCTTAAATATTCTTCCTACCTTTTGTATTGCTCCCCTTGAGTCTGTTCTCTTCACTGAGCAGCAATGGTAAAGCCTGAATAAGATCTAGAGAGTTCTGAAATATTGTTTTAGAGCAAGGGTTGGCAAACTACTGCCCACAAGCCAAATCCAGCCCACCATCTGTTTTTGTATGACATGCAAGCTAAGAATAGATTTTCCATTTTTAGATGATTGAAAAAATAAGAAGAAAAATTCATGACATGTTAGAATTACAAAATTCAAATTTCAGCATCTATAATAGTTTTATATTAGAACACAGCCATGCCTATTCATTTACATATCATCTATGGCTACAGCAGCAGTTATGTAGTTGCAACAGACACCATATAATCTGCAAAGTCTAAATAATTAAGTAACTGGCCCTTTATAGAAAAAAGTTTGCCAACCCTTATTTTAGAGGGAAAAAATTCCCCTTGAAAAAGAAGCTGGAGAGTTATATAGCAAAATAGTAATATTTTTCACAGGATGGAAGGATTATGTTTTAAATTTCTTTTATATTTACTTTTACTTATTTTTATTTTCATTTACCATAGTCTAACTTTTCTACAATGAGCATACATTGTATAAGAAAGAAAGAATATCATTTGGTAATTCTGGTAACAAATTCCAGTATCAGCTAATTAGAGGTGCTAACAATCAATAAGATTATTAAATTTTTTAGAAAATAGAATGGACAAGGACAAGCACAATCTCTACATGGTAATCAATACTGCTATAAAGTCTTTATGCTTTTCTCTATCTTCTCCACAGCTAGGATTAACCTTTCTCAAGAGAATAATTTTATTCCCAAGTGTCTAGGACTAACCCAGCTGAATTTAATCTCTCTTCCCTTTCTTGGGCAAAGGACAGTGGGCCCCAAAGCTGGCAAGACTTCATTATTCTGGATCAATCAATGCCTGGAGCACCAAGGAGCCCTTTTCCTGGATCAAGGTTAGAAAATTCCATCAATTAGAACATCTGAATACTTCCTATAATATTGAACTCATCATCTCTCAAGACTGTGTGCTATTATTAGATGCTTCCAACTGTCTAGATGTCTTTGATTCCTCCAGTGCCGTTTATTTTAATACAAAAACAAATGGTTAAATCCCCCATCCCACAAGCAAAGAAAATGTAACTTCTCTCCTAAAACTGAATTTGTCTTCCTTCTTGAATTATACACCATTGGGTTATAGGAAACATCTACTTAGTTCAGTCTGGTAAACTAAGTTGGAATCAATAACCAAAATAGTGTTTTTAAGTTGGTTAACTCAATTTCTTTTAAAGGATTCAGTCTTTCAGATTTTTCTCACCTCCCCATTTCCCCTAGAGCATTGCTTTCCAAGAGAAATATGTGAGTCACAAATGCAAAACTCATGTGCAATTTTACATTTTCTAGTAGCCAATTTTAAAACATGTGAAATTAATTTTAATACATTTTATTTAACTCAACATATCTGAAAATATGAAAAAATGGAGGAAACTCTTTGGCTTCCAGCTTTGCTCTCAACCTATCTAATGGGCCTCCCAACCCTGATACTCGAAGCCTGGAGAGGGACTAAGGTACACAAGTTTTACCACCTACTTCCCCCACCTCCATCCTCTTCTTGTAGTGTACCAGTCTTCTTCTTCCTCTTCCTAGTTGGCTGAGGACATTCCCCTATATGTTTTCCTTTTTTTCAAGACTGCATCTGCTCTTATATATTTTTTGAGGTTAAAATAATAAATAGGGACCAGGGAAAAATAAACTGGCTTACCAGTAAGCAGTAAGCAGACACAAAGAGCATGTCTATTAATGCCACAGTAACTCATCTTTTTGTTGTTTTGTAGACACTGCCAATTTTGACTCAATTCAAGCTTCTATTCACTAATCTTTAAGTATTTTTTGTTTGTGCTTCTACAAAACCACATGTTCGGCCGAGCGCAGTGGCTCATGCTTGTAATCCTAGCACTCTGGGAGGCCGAGGCGGGCGGATTGCTTGAGGTCAGGAGTTTGAAACCAGCCTGAGCAAGAGTGAGACCCCATCTCTACTATAAATAGAAAGAAATTAATTGGCCAACTAATTATATAGAAAAAATTAGCCGGGCATGGTGGCGCATGCCTGTAGTCCCAGCTAGTCTGGAGGCTGAGGCAGGAGGATTGCTTGAGCCCAGGAGTTTGAGATTGCTGTGAGCTAGGCTGATGCCACGGCACTCACTCTAGCCTGAGCAACAAAGTGAGACTCTGTCTCAAAAAAAAAAAACCACATGTTCTTCATCTTGAATTTCTATGGTTATCATTTTTTATCTAGTTGGATGCCTTTCATCTGTTATATTCTTATTTCTGTTTGGGGAATTATATCTTCCTCACTGGATACAATCTGATGAGACTAGTAAACAGAGTGTCTTATCCATGCCTAGCCAAAGAACCCTGAATGATACCCTTGTTAAGTTTCACCCTATTAGATTTGGCCCATTGTCTCAGCTTGCCAAGCTTCAGTCTCCCAAGGTATTTCCTAGTCTTCCAAGTTTCACATCATTTACTGATTTGATCAGTAACTTGTCAATATTCCAGCAAAGTCATGATCAAAATATTGAAGTAGACAGGGTTTCCTTTGTATGTGATCAACACAAATCAAGCCACTAAATCCTTATCACAACCTTATAAGGCAGATGTTACTATCATCCTCATTTTAGATAAGGAAATTGAAGTATAGAGAAGTTAGATATTGTGCCCTAAGTCACACAGCCAACAAGCAGCTGAGCCAAAATTCAAACCCTGATTGTTGGATAGTTGGGCTCCAGAGTCCTAATTCATAATAGTTATACTATCCTGTTTCTAAAATGCTCCCTTTAAGTTGATAATCATCTATTAACTATTACTGTTTGTTTATGGTAATTAAACCAGTTACAAATATACCTAATTGTATTATCATCCAACCCGTATTAAATCACCTCATCCTCAACGTGGTTTTTGCCATCTTTCCTACTGAGGTCCAGCTAGACATTTTCTTGATCTGGTAACTTTATTTTTATTTTATTTTATTTTTTGAGACGGAGTCTTTCTTTGTCACCTGGGCTAGAGTGCCATGACATTAGTCTAGTTCACTGCAACCTCCAACTCCTGAGCTGAAGCAATTGTCCTGCCTCAGCCTCCTGAGTAGCTGGGGCTACAGGCACATGCCACCATGCCTGGCTACTTTTTCTATTTTTAGTAGGGAGAGAGTATAGCTCTTACTCAGGCTGGTCTCGAATCCCTGACCTCAAGTGATCCTCCTGCCTCAGCTTCCCAGAGTGCTAGGATTACAGGCGTGAGCCACTATGCCGGGCTGCTTCTGAAGACCTTAACACACTCTGTCCTGTTACACTGCTTCTTTTCTCCTGCACCTATCACTACTTGATGCTGTAAAGAAATAAAAACATATAAATGATATAGAGTTTATTTCTCCTACTCAAATGTAAGTTCCATGAGGGCAGGGTTCTATTTCTTGTTTGCTACTCTATTTCCAGTACCTAAAACAGTACTTGGCACATAGCAAGTGCTAAAAATTATTTTTTGAATGAGTGTACGCATGGAACTTAGTCAACTGAAGGATACCATTATTAAGCACCAGAGTCATGACTAGTCCAATTTGGACATGCCAGGCTTCTGTAAGAACATTTTAAGTTTGTCTTGCTTGTTAGGGCAGAAACTGATACCTCTTGTAATGCTGCATGGTCCATGACCTCTTCTTGAAGAACCAACCATTCTTACCACTGTGCCATATTTACTCATTCATTCCAAAGCATTTGCTATGCATCAGTATTATATCAGATACCATGTTAGGTGCTGGGGCTAGAGAGAAAATAAAAACTAACATTTATTGAATGTTAATATGTGCTAGGCACTGAATTCAGCACATTACATGTATTAACTCTTTGATCCTTTGGTAACTCTTTGAGACAAACACTAATATTATCTCCACTTTACAGATAAACAATTGAGACACAGACATGTTAGGTAACTCAAACAAGTTTACTGCCTTAAGGATCTTGGTCTAATAAGGAAGGCAGACAAACAAAGCAACCTTTATAATATGGTGCAATAATTTGCTATAATGAAGTTATATATAAAGTGAAGTGGAAGCATAGAAGAAGCAGCACTAAATTTGTCTGGGTGAATCAGAGAAGGCTAACCAGGAGAAATAGTTTCTGAATAACGCTTTAAGGAGGTATAGCAGTTTATCATTGACAGAGATGTTGGGATGGGGCTGGTCTGGGGAGTGGGAAGGAAATTGGCTTTGGCTAGGCTGAGGTTGAGTGTGGGCAAAGCATTAGATTATGTGGGTCCAGATAGGCAGCATAAAGGATGTGTATGCAGAGGCACTGGGGGCTTAATGACTTGGAAATAGTCTAGTTTGCCAGAAAGCAGGCTAAGAACTCAATATGCACTTTCCTACTCATTCCGACTGTTTATCCCACAGTTGCACACACATGTCCAAATTTCAACATTGGTGTCTGCTTCACTTGCACATCTAAGGTAATGCTGGGCACATCTGTAGCAATGTAGATTCTTCCTAAGCCAATAGTTAATTTCAGGAAGTAGTACAGACATTTAAAAACAAGTTAAAGTGTTGCTTTAATTGGTAGGTGGATCTGTTGGCACCAATGATTATTCATGGCATCAAGACCCAGGGTGCCCGTCAGAAGTTTTCGAGTCTCTACATCTCTCAGTTTATCATCATGTATAGTCTGGATGGGAAGAAGTGGAAGACTTATCGAGGAAATTCCACTGGGACCTTAATGGTATGTAATTAGTCCTTTCAACAGATTGCATGAATTCTTCTTTATAAGACCTCTTGACAGATTTCAGATATTGGAAAACACTCCTGGCTTCTGCAAACTTAACTCCAAAAATGAATTTTTTCTGGCCAGGTGCGGCGGCTCACACCTGTAATCCCAGCACTCTGGAAGGCTGAGGCAGGTGGATTGTTTGAGCTCAGGAGTTCGAGACCAGCCTGAGCAAGAGCGAGACACTTTCTCTACTAAAAATACAAAGAAATTAGCTGCACAACTAAAAATATATAGAAAAAATTAGTCAGGCATGGTAGCACATGCCTGTAGTCCCAGCTACTTGGGATGCTGAGGCAGCAGGATTGCTTGAGCCACACATTCAACAGTGCTGCCAGCAAGCAATAAATAACCAACTCAGGGGCAAAGTGAGTGGCGGAGCTTAGTGAGAAAAGCCTTGGGTTTGTACATTTTGCTGATTTCCATGATACGAATACTACTCCAATCATGCCTCACTTCAAGCTACAGATGTGATGTCATTGAAGCAGAATTGGGAAGAGATGTATGCAATTAGCTTTCACAAGCCAGTGCAAGAGGGCTTCAGTACACAACTGTGCTACATTCCCAGGAAACTTTCCTCAGTCATACTGTATAATCATTTAAACTTAGCTGGATCCAATTTGCAACATTTTATTTTAAAATTCTCTATATTTATGACTACAATTGGAGCCCTTTGCCAAGGCTCTACTTACCAGGTTTTGGCATGAGAGTTACATTAAACTTGAAAATAAATTGGAAAAGTTTTCATTTTTCCATGAAACTATGCTCTAAATAGTTTAATTAATGTAGCATTTTGTATTTAATCAACAGATGAAAAAGCCACTTAGCATTGTACCTTATTTAGAGACAGATACTTGACTGCCTTTTCCAATCCTTTTATGGCATTGTATTCTCATTTGTTTTCTTAAGTAAACTGCTGTAAATGTAGTCTTATCTCCCTTCCTGTGCCACATATCTGTATCTGTATACACACATACATGTCTTTATCCCTCTTTATCATAGTTAGCAAGTGGTTGTCTATTCTACTGGTTTCTCAAAGAATCAACTCTTGGTTAAAATCAAACATGGTTTGAAAAAGCTGTTTCTAATTCATTAATTTCTGTTCAAACTTTTAAAAATTCTCCTTTACTTTCTTTTGGTTTGCTTGTTTCTAGAATCTAGAATTGAATGCCTAGTTCATTTATTTTTGAACTTTGTTTTCAGTGATAACTTACTCATTTATCATTTATTAACCACTCTATGAGGTTTATTGCTTTAGCAAACAGTCATTGATCTTATACAGGAATGGCAAACTATAACCCACAAATTTGGTCTGCAGTCTGCTTTTGTGTGGACTGTGAGTTACGACTGGTTGTTACATGTTTAAGGATTACAAAAACAAAGAGATATGCGACAGAGACCACCTGTGGCCTGTAAAGACTAACGTATTTCTATCTCTCTGGCCCTTTACAGAAAAAGGCTATGGACTGCACTGCTGGTCTACTCTAATTGCAGTAGATGCCTAGACAGTTACATTAATCCTTAGTACCGGAACCCTTTGGATCCCAGAGCTTGCCTAAATTTACTAATTTCTTGATCATCTTCCTCCAACATCTTGGTTCTCGAATGTCTTTGTACCATCCACATATAAAATATTCTTTCATAAGCAATATTTCTGATTATAGGAGCACCTCATAATGGGGAGAAGGGGAACCCCAACACCCTTTAAGGCTCACTGTCACCATGTTAAACAGTTTAAAATATTTTGAATGTGAATTTGGAATTGTCCATGAACATTTAAATGATAAGGACCTTTCCCCCTCAGTTTTCAAGTTAAAAAGCAAACTAATCGTGTCCTTTAAAATACTGGTCTTGTGCATGTTAGAAATCAGTGTTAATGTTGTATTAGAGGGATATATTACAAGAGAACACTGTCAGAAATGCTGAAATCGAGCCTTGGCCGGTTATGCCTGCCGTTTAAGTTTCTGAGTGAGATACATAAGTGAGCCGATGGCAAATGGAAAACAAGGAGTTTTAGTGTTTCTTAGAATTATGCCTATATACCCAATACCTGACTCTCTGGTTATCCCTCCCGTCACATCCCTGACACAGAGGCCTAAGGAGGCTTCTCCCTAAGCCCGAACCCAACAAAGTATCACGAGTCATGCTCCGTAACACCTCGGCATTATTTTGCCATAAGAGAGTAAGGCAGCTGGCCAGGCCTGCAGCCAGGGTTGAGAAGAGCGTACCAAGAAAGGAAAAGAATTAAAAAAAGAAAGCCAAAGACTAAAGGAGCATGTGCCCTTACCACTTTTGCAGTAAGTTGGCCTAGGCTTTTAGGGCTCCCTAGAACCCTTCCTGGCAGCCAAGTGGGAGCAGATGAATGGTGGCTAGATCTGTCTCAAATGGGCTGCTCCTGGGCCGGGCGCTGTGGCTCACGCCTGTAATCCTAGCTCTTGGGAGGCCGAGGCGGGCGGATTGCTCAAGGTCAGGAGTTCAAAACCAGCCTGAGCAAGAGCGAGACCCGTCTCTACTATAAATAGAAAGAAATTAATTGGCCAACTGATATATATATATAAAAATTAGCCGGGCATGGGGCGCATGCCTGTATCCCAGCTACCCGGAGGCTGAGGCAGAAGGATCACTCGAGCCCAGGAGTTTGAGGTTGCTGTGAGCTAGGCTGACGCCACGGCACTCACTCTAGCCTGGGCAACAAAGTGAGACTCTGTCTCAAAAAAAAAAAAAAAAATGGGCTGCTCCTGTATTTCCCATCACTTCCACCTTGTTGAAGTAGAACTAGAAGCAGAAAGAATACCTAAAAGTCCCACCCATTTCCAGGCACTTAACTCACAGTGAGGACCACCCACACCTCTCCCCCACCCTCCAAACAACAGCAACAAAAACATAAGACACAAACATCACCCCCCCCGCCCCCAACTGTGTCCTCAGTAGCCCCAAAGATTATTATTGTGTACAATTTCAGTCTAACAGATGCACTTTCCCAAGGCCGAATGTTTGAGAAAGAGGTTATATTCTGAAGAGCTCGTATGATCACTGTCAAAAGTGTAAAAATAACTCAATCGGTAAGAAAACACCTAAGTTGGTTTGCATGTAACATTTGGACAAAAAAGCCTTGGAAACTTAGTGTTTTAAAACTCAACACCCTCCTGCTGTTGGGGAACCAGGAGGACACTGCCTTGCATTCACGTGATCACACAATACCAAAGAGCCATGCTCCGATTTGAATATTTGAGTTAAATAAAAGTTGCAATGTAGATGCCAGATACCTCCTGGAATAGAGCCAGAACTGTGAATTCCAATGCAAATAGATACACTGGCACTGGAACTGTTGTTGCATTGGACACACTTGCATTGCAGGGATCTGAGTAAGGACTGCCTCACATACTAGGCCCACCGTAAATTTCAAATGAATACATCTTGGAGCTGAAAGAGAACTATGTGGTGCTGCCTTTTGTCCCCTGACAAGTAGATGAGATAGTCACATTGTACAGATGGGGTCCATCTAAACCACAGGTGAAGGGTACTAGAAGAGCTTTATCCTGGACTTAGGGCTGCAGCAACAACAAAGTTGTAAGTTATAAAATGACTCCCATGCGTCAGTATAGTGCGGGTGAGTCAAGGGAGGGATCTGGTGATCACAAAGACACAGAGATACTAGTGTCTAAGCAATGAGTGTCACGATGAAATCACATAGCTCAGGAATTTAGACGGAGCCGTGCAAAATGAAATCGTCACTGTAAAACAAAGATGGGGTGCCGGGCGCAGTGGCTCACGCCAGCAATCCTAGCACTCTGGGAGGCCCAGGCGGGTGGATCGATTGAGCTCAGGAGTTAAGAGACCAGCCTGAGCAAGAGTGAGACCCCGTCTCTACCAAAAATAGAAAGAAATTACTTGGACAGCTAAAAATATAGAAAAAATTAGCCGGGTATGGTGGCGCATGCCTGTCATCCCAGCTACTCGGGAGGCTGAGGCAGAAGGATTGCTTGAGCCCAGGAGTTTGAGGTTGCTGTGAGCTAGGCTGACGCCACGGCACTCTAGCCCGGGCTACAAAGTGAATAAAACAAAGATGGGGGTGGGAGAAGAGGAGGACGGAGATTAAAGGGATTCTCATTTTCACATTGCAGTTTTTTGGAAGAGAGCCATGTCCTCTACTCTGATTCTATTGAAATGTGTATTTCTCCCACTATTATGGAGATAA